CCTCTTACCTCTTATACCTCACTTTGCGATCTTAATAAAACATTCTATAATTTGTTTTGTAACTAGGGTTTCGAGACTACCAGTAAATCATTTATATGAGATGTGTTCATCCTATTTCGTTTAAGGTGATGAGAGACTGGTAAATGAATTTTCCCACAATGCATTTCACATAGCCTTATTTTCCTTTAAGGCATTCTTAGCCATGGTGGACTGTCGTTTCAGCCTCGTCTAGGTCTCATCAGCATCCCCAGCGGGACTCAAACAATGTCAGTCATGGTAGACGACTTCAGACTAGCTGCGTTCTATTTAGTCTCCCTGACAACAGGACCAAGTTGTGACAACGAGGTCTACCCATTTTTATAGAGAGACTTTGGTGATACACAGCATTCTGTACTTTGTCTTCTGCCATCACCTGACCGGGGACTGAGTACATTCTCAGATGCCTTATCGGCATCAGAGTTTACGCTACTTGCTTTAGATATTACTTATCCTGGCAACTCGTCTGGGAATATGCATGTTGAGGAGACTTTCGTTTAGAATGAAAGTGCATAAATAAGTTATTCGTAGGTTGATCTCATCAGAAGACGACGGCTGATTTCCGTTGTACTGCAGCCACTTGGCTTTAATACAACGTTCAGGTTAACGCAATCCACGAGACATAATCCTTCGTTTCGTTGAAATCGGGCTGAACTTTAGTTCATCACATGATAAACATCATCAAAGCTGAAACTTACTCATATAAAAGCCTCACGTTAACACTATGTCAGGAAGACTATCCAGCTTCTATAGATTCTCATAACTAAAAAAGGAAAATGAATAGAGATACAAATGAAATATAAAAGTCTTATGCCCTAATTTTGCTAACATGCCTTCGTTCTAAAAAGAAGGACGAAATAGTGAGAAAGTGGGGAATAAAAAGAGTGTTCAAAGAAACCCTCACACTTTCTTCGGTTATGCCATCTTTTAGAGAGAAATATGACCCATTATCGAGATCTGGCTGCTAAATGATTGTCTTTTTCTGTGGTCGACCTTATTTTGGTGAGATTTGCCGGCCTATCTGACAACGATTGAGGGAACACAAGAATGCTTGTAGAGAGAACTGGGTCCAATGTTCGCAAGTGGCCAAACACATACCAGAGCCTGGACATGAGATAGAATGGTATCAAACTAGAAGCTTTCTGATTATGCCACGTCTGCTGTTAAAAGGAAGATAAGATATACTGTTTAAATTAATACAGTATAGAATACGTTAAATGTGTGGAGCAGCGCTAGAAAGTTATGACTTTTACAAGAATAGATTCCAGCTCTGATGATGTCCATCATCAGGCCGGAAGATGTCCCGTGGACTACACAATATCAACATCGTATTAAAGCCAAACGGCTGCAGTTAAACAGAAGTCCGTCGTCTTCTTCTCTTATTCATGCGCTTTGATGGGCAATAAAAGTCTCCCCAACAATGTAACCTCAGCAAATGCATCAAAACCCAGTTACTCTTAGCTCTATAGTCAACATATTTAACACTCCGATCCTGAAATAAGACATGGCATAAATATAAGAAAATGCATCAGGAAATACAGTTTTGTAAATCGGCCGGAAAACACGAACAATCGCGGAAACCGGTTTAAGACGCCTATATAGCTCAATCATCCAAGCGAGGTAATAGAAGACAAATATTAGCCTTGAAACTGCCTTCTAAGAACGCAACAAGCACCTCTGACTGCTTGTTTGGCCCCATTTGCAATCCATGTTTCGCTTTTTGTTCGTGTTTTCAATGAGACTAAGTTAAGCGGGCATATCCCTAATCATTTTAGCCGATAGCGAGGATTGAAATGCCATAGAAACGACTGGGAATATATTCAGCTTACGACATGATGCTTGACAAGGATAACAACAAATAAAGAAGATATACTTGTAATTTCAATGTCTTCTCAATGCGAATCAAGGTAATAGCAAACATTTGGTTTTCCTCGAAATTCACTCTGCACTGTGATTAAGGGGAACTCGCAGCTTTTTAGCTGAGTAGTACCATATCGAAAGCACATGCTACACTAACGAAACCTTAGTTCGATTCACGTTGAAGGTAATGATGAGACCCAGACGAGTCCTGTCCAATTGAAATGATAATACCTTTTAGGACGCAAAGCTAAGTAAAACTCAATGGAAACGTTGGGCCTGCACATATGATTGTGGAAAAATTCAACTATCAGTTCTCCATCATTTTATATGACCTAGAGTGAATACAGCTCTTAATTACAAAGAAAGCATCTTCGAAAATGCGATCTATTTGCAAAAATGATGTCAAGCCACTCCTAACAGTTTCTTCCATGTTGGTTAATTTACTAAAATATTAATCATTATGCTTTACATTGCTATGCTGAGGATTTACAGCAAAGGCATCTTTTTTTGAAATATGATTAAAATTGGGTTGTTGCTTGGTGGCGAAGAAACCTAAAACTCGATAAAAATAGTTTTTTGTATAATTTAAGAAACAACATGATCAAAAATTACCACGGGCTAGTTTAGGGCCGCGACCCGCAGTTTTCGTTGTTGCTATAGGTTTTAAGACCGTTGATCATTTCAATAAATGACCACGAGTCACAAAGTCTTCACTAGAACCCTTGTCTTGATTGAGGTTGTTTAGGGAGTGCAGGTCAAAAATTAGAATTTGTATATTTGCCATTTTTTTCCCCAATTCTCGAAAGCACTTAAGATCAAAGTAAAATTCTGTTCTTGACATACTTGTCAAACCACAGGCCAAAGGTTCAGAAAGTGGTAACCCATTTCAGATATTCTGGCAATTGCCTCATATGCGAAGAAAAGTTGGGTTTCGTGGAATTTCTTGTTTCATAATTGTTGAGCTTACTTCCATTTTGAGTGAAAGTTTTGAGTGAAGAGATTTGAAGGCCGGTTCCACCAGAAGACGACAGCGGATTCCTCTTGACCAGCTGTCGATTGGATTTACTGGAAGATAGGAAACTGGAGCATGTATCAGGTG